GGGAAAACAATAAAGGTTAAAACTGAAGCTTAATAGGAGCCACCTACCTCCTATTTGCCACGGTGTTATTTCCAGATGGTGCCCAAGATTCCCCTCTGCCCTCAGCCCAGTGTTCCTGTTGGCTTTCGATTGGTGTTCTATTTTATGTTGGGAGGATCCAACTGAGTGAAGGGGCGCTTTTCTTGGCTTAGTTCACATTATCAACGCCTTTATTTCCCATTGCAGCTAATCTCCCTGTTCATTACCTCTTTTGCTATTTATTGAGACTCGGCGTCTGGGGGACTCAGATTGTATGAAGGATTTGCCACAAAAGAAACTTCACTGTGTGTTGCCTGGGCACTGATATTTGCCAAGCAAGGGGTCACCAGCCTCTCTCCATTTCATTATACACCATGAGGATGAGTCATGCCTGGAAAATGTGGTGACTGTAATTTGCAATTGTCCTCTACTGAAAAATCTCTCAGAAGAATTGGTTCTCATGCTCTTGTTCATTGAAGGGCGAACATCCTACCAACACGCCAACATCTTATTTCTGTGTCACAGATAGGCAGCACAACTGCCCCCAGACTGGGGGCCAGAGTTCCGTGTAGCAAAGTATTCAGGTAAAAAGGGAAGAAAAACCCTTCTATTAAGTGTCATGGAATGCACAAGCCATTCATTTTCCCCTTGTGCAATCTGGAATCAGTTCTTGTACTCCAAGGGAGTGGAGAGAATCAGCATTGTGGGTCACCAATAATCCAATCCCTACCTGGGGCATTCGAACCTGCTTGCTATGGCCTAGAGAGACTTTTGAATGGGGGTGATTAATTCCAGGCCCTCTTCTGTGCATTTTGCCAACTGAGACATCAGAACACAGAAATCCATTAGACCACAGTCACCCCTGTGAGAAGGGGAGACGGGAGGCTGAGCTGGGGCCCTGCTTGCTGAGGGCGTTAGAAAAGTGAGACAGAGTAGAGTCAGGGAAGTGACTGAGTGTCCTCCATAGCCAAGCCCCTCTGGCCTGTGTCTATTTCTAGGACTGGCCAACAGATGTCCACCCAGGAGCAGAGTAGAAGGGGTCAGGGCTATTGGAAAAGCCTTCCTCCAGGGCACCCTGATCACCTGGGAGCTTTATTTTGGTGTCTGCTGTTGGATCGCGGGCTGTGCAGTTTTTATTATGAAGACATTTTCTCTTGGTTCCCTGCCTTAAGTAGCTATGAGTATATAATATCTAATAATTGAATAATCTCCATGAGGGCAAACAAAAGCACCAAGCCTGAGTAAAGAGTAGGATCTGGATTGCACTTTCCTACCCCTGGCTATGAAATAGTCCCTTAATGATTGGTATCATAGTAACATTAAATAGATGTAAAAATTTTTTAAAATGTGGGCCGGTCTCCTGACTTTTCATTTGATTTAAAAAGCCTGATTTGCTGCTGGGAAAACCTCTTTGCAGAGTAAAGCTTGGTGAGTCTAATTAATTCCCTTGCAGGGCAGCCAGGGGCACAATGGGATCACTAGTGTTGCAGCCCTCCTGAGTGACCTCCATAAGCGTAAGCCCCAAACGCGTGTTGCCTGGGTTGTCAGAACCCTACCACTAGAGTTCGGTTGGCTCTGTATTGATCAGAAGCCTTGGTGAGACCATGACATGCTCATCCTGCCCCACCCTCCTACTCCCCACTGGAAATAGACCCAGACTCAGGTGAAGCTTAGAACAGGGGCTCACACTCGGTAAGCATTCCTTAAATATGTGTCGACTAAAAGCAGCCAGGCTTGTGAGGAAGCATGCGCACACAGGCAGAGCCCCGGATCGGGAGTCAGCAGGCTTGGATCACGTGCCTCCTGCATGTTTTTATTATGAAGACATTTTCTCTTGGTTCCCTGCCTTAAGTAGCTATGAGTATATAGTATCTAATAATTTAATTATATATTAGATATTATATAATATCTAATAATTTAATTCAGGCACCAGGCCTGTTGTAGTGTAAGAAAGACAAAGCATGTGTTCTTCTTATGTCAGTGATTCTTAAACTTGAACATATAAGAATCAAATGATAGTTTTTTTTCCCCAAAAGTTTTGCATATTTATTATTGAATCAACAAAAGCCAGTACTCCAGTACCCTCATAGCTAAAAAAAAACCAAAACAAAACCAAGATTTCCAGTTAAATATGCCCAACTGTCCCAACAGTGGTGACATTTTCAGATTGACCTGGTAAGATGATCGTGACTGTGATACAGAGTAACCGTATGCGCCATTTCATGTGTAATTCCTTACAGATGCAGCTTGGTTCTCCTCCAGTGTCCCCTCTTGGGATTGTACCTGATTTTATGACCAGTTTTCATATGAATCCATTGGGGATTGGGCTAACTTTGCTTTGTTTCTTTGCCAGGAATCGTTTGATCCTGAAGGTCTCATGAGAAGATGTGGCAAGGGACCAAATGAAATGCATGCACCTCAAAAGGTGAAGAGTTGGTAGATTTTTTAATCTGTAGAGTTTGAGGGATACTACCTCTGAGGTTCTGGATTTCAAGGTCTCCAACCACAGTCTAAGTCAGTGGATTTCAGATCTGGCTGTTACTGGAACCTACTTTTTAAAAGGATGCTCAGACCCCAAGTAATTAAATCTGAAGAGCTGGGAGTGCAGCCCAGGTTTTGGAAGGCCTTGAGAGCTCTGCGGGTCATTTTAGTGTGAAGCCAGGATTGTGAGCCATGGTGTGAGCCAAGCATCCGCACGGGCATGGACACAACTGAGGGCTCTTGGAGGTCGTGACTGGACGAGGCAGTTGTCATGTGGTTGACATGTTCATCTTCAGACAGACGAGGGAGGGGTCGGGCTCTGCGCTGTCTAGCTGGCCACATCACAGAGACATGGCTTACAGGTGGGATAGCACTGTGAGGTTGTGAGGGCCTTGTGGCCATGCTCAGGTGTGTGCCTGTGCCCTTCTCTGCTTGGGAGAGCGCCCTCAGCTTTCACAAGATTCGTTCTCTCTCCCTCCCCGATTCCCTGGTTTTGTTAATGTATTCTTCCCTTCCTTTCAAGTCCACTGCTCGGCTCTGGCGCTATGGTGAAGGACATGGCAGCGTGGGTTTCTGTGTGCTGGGTGTATATTTGTGATTGACAGGAGCTGTGTTCCCACCCAGGGTGTGCTGTCAAGCTCGATTCTGCTGGTGTGTGACCATCTAGTCCACATCCCACGTGCTGCGTGCTAATCCATGGGTTTCCCAGGATCTCACCCATCTATAGCCTCAGTGAGGGGCATGCAGAGTGTGTCCACTCTCCTCGGCTGCCAGCAACGTGGCTGTAAGCACCCTCACGTTGTCCCCTTGGGAGCCAGCAGAGCATGTCTTGGGAGCTCTTGGGTCATAGGGTTACAGACTTTTTGACTGAGACAGCTGGACTGCTTTCCAGAATGACCGTACCCCTGTCACCACCCCTGGAGTCCTGAAGAGATTCCATCTTTGCCCCTGCTCAAGTGTGATGGCCATCAGAACTGTGTTGGCCGGGCCCTGGGCCCAGGGCTGTCTGCCTCTGCGTTTCCTCCTCCCTGCCTGCCTTCCCCCCACTCCCTGTGGCGGTTGCCTGGGCTCTTCATCTCCATCCTCAGGCCTGTCACTCTACCAACTTCTTTGTCACAGAGAAAACAGAGGTCACTTACTTTCCTCCCTCCACTGCTAAGTGCACCAGCGTTGGCCTGGTCTTGACTGGTTTTCTCTTCCTGCTTCCTCGAGGGCTGAGCCCCCCAGCTTAGGATTCCCTTCCTACCTGTCTTCCAGAAGCCTTGCTGCCTTGGCGCCTCTCCTGGTGTCTTAACCTCTCTTGGTCACTGGCTAGCTTCAGTGGCCTAATCTTGGCCACTCCCCGCCATTCTGAAACCAGCTTCACTTCTCCTTAAGCCCCTCCACCCCTTTTCAAAAAAGTGTCTTTCATTCAGTACAAAACTTTTGAATGCGTTTTCTTTTTCAGTGCTAAGGATGGAACCCAAGGCTTCAGGTGTGTTGGACAAGTGCTCTGCCACTGAGCTGCACCCCGGCCCAGGAATGCACGAGTCCCTCAATTTCTTCTCATCCTGATCCTTCAATCCAGCCCTCCTCCTGGTGGTCTTCTAGATGCCACGATGCGTCCCACCTCCTACCATCTGACTCCACCGACAACACTCCTTCTCAGAGCTGTCTCTCCTCTTGGCTCTCAGGACACCACTTTCTCCTGGTTCTCTCCTCTCTCTGCTTCTTCTTAGGCCTCCTTTCCCTCTACCCTTCCTTTAAAGCTTTCCCCTCTGCTGAGTACTCAAACTGCCACAAGTTCTCCCCTACTTCTTAGACTTCCTTGAATTGTCATCAAGAAGCAGATGCCTCTCAAACCTGGATCTCATTTTAATTCAACGAATCTGGTTGAAAATGTACTGTGTGCCGAGATCCAGAGATGCCTATGGTCTATAAAAGTTCTCAGTCTGGAGCTCCGTCTTCTGAGCAGTCTAGATGTGTCTAACTCACAGACTAGCTTCAGCAAATTATGTATCTATAAAGTTTTTCTACTGGGGTCCAGAATCTTAGCTGTCTGCTCCAACTGTGGTCTAGACAATGTACCACAGGCCCTGAGTCATGAGATGTGCATCTATTTCCTTTGACTAAGAAGTACAGGACAGCCATCGGCAACACCTGGGGTTCTAAGCATATAGCTTGGACCATTGATTTTTTTCCCCCTGCCTTTGGAACAGGCATCGATAAAGTCTAAATTAGTAAGTATTAATGTATGGCATGAGAATTGTATATAGAGTTAGTGCTGTTGGCGACTGGCCCCGTCCTAAGAGTTGCTCACCCTGACAGTACTGGCTTGACGAGGCTCACACATGCAAAGGACAATCATGCCAGGTTGGACAGGATTCACTGCCCATCTCCATGAACACTGTGCCTTTCTGACAGAAGTTACCTTGGGCGGATTAGGAAGGACAGAGCTGCAAATTTTGTAGGCTGGCCTGGCCTGCCTCCCGGGGGCCAGCTGCTCTCCGAGACAGCCTTACCTTTGTTTCAGAATCTGTTTGTTGTCATCGATGGTAACGCTGTCAGCATGGTCCCTCTTGAATATTTCAAAAGCCTCCTGGCGTCCTAATGACATTTCCTCTCTCATCCCTGTTAGGAGACACAGGCAAATGGCCTCAGTCACAGCATCAGGATCCGATTAATTTCATTGTCACTTTAGTCAGACCGCAAAGCCAGCCCTGGCTCCAAGAGGCCCATGGCAGAGAGGCTCTGACCAGACAGGTGGCCCCAGGCTATTCCAGCTGGCTGCTGACCCACTGAGGAGGCCCTTCCAGCCACAGGACACCCACTGCACCCTGCAGGGCTGTGCCTGCATGTCCATGTGACTTATGGGGGATGGGGTTTGGAATGTCTGATCAGAGGAAATGAAAACCAGAGCACCAAGCCCTGGACCGCAGGACATCTGCAAATGCACTTTCTGCCATCTCTCAGGGCCACATGGCTCCTGGGTTCCTGTCATGCCCGACTCTGGCTTTCTGTTAAATGTCACCCTGAATTTCCAGGCATTTAGTGATAGGAATTATAACACAGACTGGGAGATACCGAATCTAGAAATTTCTGCCCTTAGTTTCCACATAATGATCCATGCTTGCTTTCTGTGGCTGGTGAGGGACCTAGGAGCTCCCTGGAGTCAACTTCTCTGTCACAAGACCATGGCAGGAGTCCCTAGCTGATGTCTCAGCATTTCAATGTCCAGCCTGCCCACTGTGAGGCCCTGCCCAGGGCTCAAAATACAGAGCCTCGAGTCAGAAACCAGGTGGCACCCCTGCACCAGGACCTTTTCATCCCAGTCTCCCAAGGCAAGGGTCAGTGCAGGTGTGAGTCTGAGATGCCCCCTCAGTGACCCCTTCACAACTGGGTTTTGAATGAATCATTATTATTATTATTATTATTATTATTATTATTATATTTTGGTACCACGAATTGAACACAGGGGTGCTCAACCCCTGAGCCACATCCCTAGCCCCCTTTTAAAATGTTCTATTTAGAGACAGGGTCTCACTAAGTTGCTTAGGGCCTTGCTAAGTTGCTGAGGCTGGCTTTGAGCTCGAGATCCTCCTGCCTCAGCCTCAATCCCACTAGGATTACGGGTGCCCAGCTCAGAGACTTTTAAAAATGCTTCAGCCCTTGGTTCCTGTGCCCGGAAGTTCTTTTCCCCTGTTTCCATCTGCAGCTCTGCTTATCTTCAAAGCCCTGGCTGAGTCTGCCACCTCCATAAAGCTGTCCCCAAACCCAGGCTAAACAAATCCTCCCTGCACTCTGTCCTACTCAGGCACCTGCAGCAGGTACAGTCGGGTGGACATCATCCTTCATGACAATCCTTTCTGGGGAAATGCAAGTTTCTCAAAGGTAGAAGATCATATTTTTATGTGAATCTCCGGTGTCTCGTTGGATGGCTGGCACTGAGATGGTGCCCAACATATGTCTACTAGATGATCTGGTAGGAGCCAAGTGGGCAGGATATGAGCCTTGCTGTAATTGCCACAGGAACACCGTCCAGGGCCATGAGGCGGTGAGGCCTAGGTTTCCAGAGACTCGCTCATCTGGGCCACATACAGCATCTTTTGCCTGGAAAAACCCTGCTAAGTTCCATCTCCCAGGCTCATCGAGGAACTGGACCAGCTCATCTGACACCAATTTAATCATTACTGTGGTAAAAATAGCACTAGGAAGAATGTCTGAATGGTGAGGTACACAACAACACTCCACCCTTTTCCAATCAGAAGCAAATGGGCATGGCTCATTTCAGTCTCCACATCTGTCCTGCACACTCCAGAAACCAGTGGAGCTGGGAATTGGTTGGTGTGCGACTCTTGAGGATGGGCTCTGAGCACGAGAGATGTCAACACCGGGCACTTTTCACCAGCAGAGCCCGTGGGAGTCGAAGGATTCATTCCCCACTTCTCCCCTGGCCCTGGCCCGTGCCCAGTGGTAACAATGGGGGCTTTTACTGCACAATAGAATCAGAGGGCGTGCGTGTGTCTGGGAGAGTTGGAAAGACGGTGCTCCACGGGCACCACAGTGGAGGTTTGGGATCCCCAAAAGTGCACCTAGGGATCCCCAAATTGCCTCTCACAGAGGGGTTAAGAGAAGGCTTCTACCAACCAGGTAGTGGCAGTGGTGGGGTGGGGTGTGGAGGATGGCTCATAAAGTGGTCACGAAGGAGAAGGGCCTTTCCTCTTCTGCCCTCTGCTTTATTGCAGAGCTGACGGTGTGAATGGGCAGCTGGGTGGGGAAAGAGCCCACTCAGGTTTTCCAGCGCTCATGGTACCATAATGGCGGTCAGTCCTGGGAGAACCTGAATAGCCCCTGGTCTGCCCTGAGTGGACGGTGGGAGCAGAAGGCATATGCAGTGTAAAGCTCAGGAAGTTCGTTTGCAATTATTTTTAAAAATGATCTTAAAAGTTCTAAGAAATCTGGAGCCAGCAGCATAACATCTTATATAAGAATCATCAATTACCAAAGATTCAAAATTTAGTAAAGTGCACATGTGGGAAAGTGGCATTGGGAATTACTTAGGGACCCTGCTGATGACCAGGAAGATGGCATTAGCTTTCCTCCCGCCATAGAGAAGTATTCTGCAAGTAGGGTTTCCTGACTGTGGGGATCACAGGTGAACTGTGGTGATGGTATGATGGCCTTAATCCTGGCAGCTGGCTCCCTAGGTGCCTGCCCAGGGAGGCCATGGGGAGGGGCTTATCTTGTCCTAGTCTGAGGGGAAAGAGGTAAAGCAAGGCCGAGATGCCTACAGAGCCTTCAGGGAAGGCTACCGTAAGGAGCATGAGACTGGGGTCCACAGAGAGAGGCCCGTGGGAAGGACCCCACAAGGAGCTGAAGTGTGCTGGCTGGGTCTCCGTCTCAGACTTCTCCTGTCCATCCATCCCCTTCTGCCCATTTAGAGTCCACATTTGACTTTTTTTTTTCCATTGTATTAATACATCAGATCTCAGCCAATTTGGGGTCACTCACAACATTAATGAACGACTGTTTCTCCCAACTTTTCATTTATTAGAGCGATGTCTCAACTTCTTTTTCCTATGAGGATTTAGAAAGCAGGCTCTTTCTCCTGTGACAAGCTCTTGTCCTGAAGCACACACTGTATGTGTTAGGAGCAAGAGTGTTTGAAGCTCACCTTGCTAATGAGACAATCATCTATTTATTTATTCCTTCAAGATGTGTTTATTCATCTTAGGCGCCGTGCTAGGCATGTGACAGAGATGCAAAACCCAAGAAGGCAATTAAAGCTTTGATCTTTGTGTTTAAAGAGTTCAAAGTCTAGTCAGAGAGAAAGGAAAGTGAACAAATAATGACACTGCTGCGAGCTGCAGGGAGTTGTGTCCAGCACCAGGAGACAGGGAGGAAGAGGGGCAGGAAAGTCACTCTGTCGGGGACAGTGGGGGGAGACCGCTGGAGGAGGGGGCATGTGACTTCATGTGAAGGGATTCTGAAGATGGTGCACCATTTGCCAGGTGGGGATGAAGAACCAGTGGAGGGGGCAGAGGAGTGTGAATTAAAAGGGCAACCTGACCAGTACGGGTGGTTCTGCCCCTCCATGGGAATGACATTTGCATGGTTACAGAAAAGGAGGGGAGGTAAAGGTTGCCCAGCTTTTAGAGGCAATTAGTTCTGCTCCTCAATAGATTTTTTCCAGGGAAAGTAGGTCTGATGGAAAGGGCAAGGTGGGTGGCATCCAAAATGGCCTGCTAGTAGATTCACCCATGAGATCACACTCTAATTAGTGCCTATTTTGCCCAAAGCTTTATATTTTTTTCACAGTATTACAGAAAACCAGAACCCTGAATTCTGTTGACTATTTACGTAGTGTATTTGATATGTTAATAAGTTCTGTTAATTATTTATACAATTTGTCAGCTCCTAGGGGCAAGGATTCTTGTCAGTTTTGTTTGAAGCAGTATTTCTAGCACTTGACCAGTCCCTGGTATCATGGAGGAACTCAACTGTCTTCTGTTGATCCTAGGGCCTGGCACATGCTAGACAAGTGCTCTGTTACTGAGCTACATCCCAAGCCTTTTCGTAAATGAGTTATTTTGAGACAGAATCTTGAAAGTTGCCTAGGCTGGACTCAAACTAGTGGACATCCCAAGAAGCTGACATTACAGGTCTGTGCCACCATGCCTGGCACAATTAGATGTCTTTTAAATGAATGAGTGGGCAGATGTCTTCCCTTTTGTTAGACTGTGTTGCTACTGGGGAAGTGAAACAGGCTGGCACTGCCCTCCACCACCATGCTCCTGGGGGGGGTTCATCCCCTCCGTGACGTGTCTTAGAAAATTCAACACCATCTTCTCCCCATTACAGGTTATTGCACTCAACAGCCCACTATTAGAGATGAACTCCAACTCCAAGAAGCTTTTATGAAAATGCAACAAGCCTTGAAGGTATCACTATTTTAGGGTGAGCAAAGAAAAATTCTACAATTTGTTGACAACTAGCTAACAGGTCCTACAAAGACAGACATGCTACTTTCGTCCCAAATTGGTCTGTCAGAATCAGCTCCTCATCAAGGTGTAGGGTCTCGGAGTGCTGACCTGCTGTGCTCATTTCTAGCTCTTGTTTGTGTTTAGTGAATTTCAGCCACAGGTCCCAGCACTGAATCCCAGAAAGTAGGGATGATGACGAGGGCCTCTGGCTTGCCGAGCTGCAGGGCCACATCACATAAACCTACAGGAGATGCTCCAAACACAACACTGCATTTCCAGGTTGTGGGCTGGTGGAAAAATATTTATAAGACTCAAAGGCATAAACTCTTCTGGATTTTGATACTGATCAAAGAGCACTTTGATAGAAATCGCAGTCAACAGTTTTTAAAAACTAGCTTTGGAGTTGGATTTCTGAAAATCAGGCATCTAAATTCACATGTGTTGGCCTCTTATTTTTTAATTCTGTGTGTGTGTGTGTAAAATAATAATAATAATAATAATTATATATATATATGTATATAAAATTATTTATTCATTTTTAAACTTGGTACCGGGGGTTGAACTCAGGGGCACTCTACCACTGAGCAAATCCCCAGCCCTGTTTTGTATTTTATTTAGACAGGTCTCACTGAATTGCTTAGGGCCTTA